CCAAAGCAGCTTACATTATTCTCCTCTCCTCCATTTTATCCTCAGAGATGTGAAGGCCCGGGGAAAAAACAGAACAATTGAAAAAAGAAAAGAAAAAAATTTGATTATGTAACGTTTTATTTTAACATGATGAATAAAATATTTTAAGACAAGGTGTTCAAATATTTTCCAAATCATTTCTAAAATATATATATATGGTATCAGATTGATCTAATTTCTGTGCACTGAGGACAAGCAAGTCCTAGGTTACAAACTGAACTCTCCAATGCAAGAACAAGATGCATTTCTTCCTTTAGGAGGTGCGATTGTCAGAAGAAAATAAAAAAGTTTCAGTTTTGTTTTTGCATGTGGGTGGGTATTCTGTTTGTAATAATTGTTTGGATACACTATATCTTTAATATGCTAGTTGTGATAATTTCATGCCAAGTTAAAATGTCCATAGTCATATTTTATGTTCCTGAAGTAACAGAATGACTTTCAATCTAGAAAAGACAAAAGAAATGCTAATGTAGCATTTTTTCCCCATTTTTATCCGACAATTTCTGTTTTTTCCGAAACCCGGGAAAAAAACGGGTTTTTTCCCGAGCTTCAAAATTTCCGGAAATTTTACATCTCTAATCCTCACAACAACCATGTGAGGTATGTTAAGCTGAGAGATGGTGAGTCGCCCTAGGTCACCTACCAAGTTGCCATGGCAAAGTGGAGATTTGAATTTGAGTCTCCCAGATCCCAGCTTGACTCTCTAAGCGCTACATTACACAGAAAATGAACTGAGGGAAGTATGGCCATGCAGGATCTTGAAGAGCTCTCAATTTACCTTTTTCCGCTTCCACCACCCTCCAAGACTTCCCTTCTCCCTCCTTTTTAATGTCATCCTCTTCCTTCCCACCCGAATTGTCTTAAAACACAGAGCATAACATTTGTTTTAATGCAATTTCTAGGTGCTGCAAAGCACACTCAAGGTACTAAATAAATATTACATAGGTTAACACTAGCAATTGGTACATTTTTTTCAGGAATTCAGCATTTAGCAAACCATGGCTGAGGGACAGATGCAATTTGTTCTTACACTTAAACTCCTCTGCCCAAACATCTTGGATCCATTAAATATATCTGGGCTATCCTGGACTTGCTTCTTCATTTCTGGCTCTTTTATGCATTTGGTTATTGAGCTCTTTGCCTAATTAACCTCTTGAAGTCAAGAACCAGAAGGTTTCAGCTTGTGTAACAAGATCTTCAAGCAAATAAGAGAATCTGACTGGTAAAACAACATGGATTCACTTACAGCCAATTGTAAGCTAGGCTTTATACAAAATGCAATTCAGAGGCAGGAGAAAAGAGAGAGAGCAGGTCTCATAGGTACCATGAAAGAGTAAGGAATAAGCCAGTTGCCGGTACACAGTGATGAGGCAAAGTGATAAACTCAGGCGGGCTGTCATCTGAGACAATTTCTCAGGTTCAACTCTGATAATAACTGAAAAAAGGGGGGAGGCTCAACCCAAAATATATCTGTGAACTAAGAGGGTCAAGCTAACACTATATTATATACAAATACAAATGTTTATTAATGTTTATTAAGGTGTACACATGTTAAAACATACTGTGGTTAAAAGAAAGAGTCTACATTTCAGACTTTAAAAGCTTTTCTAATACAAATACACTTGACAGGTAAACACTTTTTAACTTCAGACCAAATGCGTTTCGGCCCCTTCGGGCCTTCCTCAGTGATCACTATTCTCTATATTACATCCAAATTCACATGTAAAAGGTTTTTGTGTGTGTGTGTGTGTATATATATATATGAGTTGTGGTGGCTCAAGTGGTTAAGACGCTGAACTGCAGGCTGTGGAAGGTCGGTAGTTCAGCAGTTCGAGACCCGGGTGCCGCATGATGGAGTGAGCTCCCGTCTCTAGTTCCAGCTCCTGCCAACCTAGCAGTTCGAAAGCAAGAAATTGCAAGTAGATAAATAGGTACCACTTCGGTGGGAAGGTAACAGCATTCCGTCCGCCTTGGTGTTTAGTCATGCCGGCCACATGACCACAGAAATGTCTTCGGACAGCGCTGGCTCTTCGGCTTTGAAACTGAGATGAGCACCGCAACCCTAGAGTCGGATTCGACTGGCTTTCGAGCGAGGGAACCTTTACCTTTACATACATATATGTATATGTATACGTGCATTTTGGATGTGTGTCAGTGTAATATAGAGAATAGTGACCACTGAGGAAGGCCCGAAGGGGCCGAAATGCGTTTGGTCCTAAGTTAAAAAGTGTTTACCCGTCAAGTGTATTTGTATTAGAAAAACTTTTAAAGTCTGATATTTAGACTCTTTATTTTAACCACAGAATGTTTTAACATGTGTACACCTTAATAAACATTTGTATTTTTATATAATATAGTGTTAGCTCAACTCTGATTAATACCAGAATCAACCTTGAACAGGACATGATTACTTCTTCTGCCTCCTGGTAAAAATCAGCATCTCAACTGCATGCTGGTTGGGGCAGGTGGAAAGGGGAGCGCTTACATCCCTCTAGCAACTGTGCACACCTCGGCAGGGAACACACAAAAAAAGCTTAACATTCAACCTCATATTTTCCATCACAAGATCTAAAAAGTTTCTTTCGAAGGAACAATAAAAGCTGAGAAGATGGGAATCTAATAGCTTGTTCAGAATCTCAGGACTATCGAATCATAGCCGGGGTGTGTGTGTGTCAAAGGACCACCTAGCTTAATCTGCTTGACAACGCAAGTCATTTATACAACAGTTCCCAAAATACCAAAAGCGCTTAGCACACTTTTTAGTAATCCTGTGGAACAGATTTCTAACAGTCCGTATTGTTCCCCATATTATGGAGGCGGGGTGGTAGATGAGGGGGCAGGCCCAGGAACAGGAGGTTGCCAAAGGTCACCCAGTGAGTTCATGGCTGAGGTGAAATCTAACACAGGGATTTCCTCAATTATGCAACCCACATATCAGTCCCCAAACAGATCCACTCATTTAATCCAGACCACCACCATGTGCCTCAGACAGAGGGAAGGGACATTACAGTCCGGTCTCTTGTTCACCGGAGAGCCCCAAACAGCTACATACTACAGAGCACCACCCAAAGGACCATAGCCAACAGGGTTCTCACCAATGATTCTATCATCTGCACAGGAAGACGGGACACTTTAGTCTGCAAAAGCTTTCATCGGAATAAAAGTCTTACCAGTTTTTAAAAAGTGACATAAGACTCTTGTTTATTTCTGCTGCAACAGACTAACACAGCTCCTGGGGTTTTTGAGGACAGATCAATGCACCGAAGACTCAGTGTGCTACAGCAAGAAAGGTAAAATCTCTGCAAGTGATTATTAGGAAAGTTACTGAAAAACAAGACAGCCAAGTAGAGCAGTCGTGGCTTTGTATAAATCTGTGATGCAGCTGCGCTTGAAATACCACACTGGCAATACAGATCAAGTTGCCACATCTCAAGAATTATATACAGCTGGAAAAGGTACAGAACCGGCAATCAAAATAATCCAGAGCATTCAAGCACCTTCCTCACTATGACAACTAAGCCATCTGAACCTTTTTATTTTAGAAAATGAAAAGGGGGGGAGCAATGACAGAAAATACAATTAAATATCTCTTACACCTCCCCCCTTCCAATAATATGAGAATTCTGGATCACTCAATGAACCTGGTTCAGAACAGATCATAGAATCACAGAGTTGGAGGGGATCTCCAGGGTCATCTTGTCCAACCTGTTGCACATTGCAGGAAATTCACCAATACCTCCCCCACACACCCCCAGTGACCCCTGCTCCTCGCCCAGAAGATGACAAAAAAAAACCTGGCCAAACTGACTTGGAGAACAATTGTTTCCTGACCCCAAAGTGGTGATCGGCATTTCCCTGGGTGTGTAAGAAAAGGCCACGAGACCTAAGCACTGATGCGACCCTTCCTGCCCTCCCTCTCATGATCTGCCTAAGTTCACACAATCAGCATTGCTGTCAGATGGCCATCTAGCCTCTGCTTAAAAAACTCCAAAGGAGAGCCCACCACCTCCCGAGGAAGCCTGTTAAAAGAAAATCCATCTTCACAGGAGACATAATTTAAACACCTGGCACCTGGAATTCACTGCCACAAGATGGCCAGGATCAAAGAGACAGCCAGAAAGGTATCAAAGAAATCCAGAGGACTGAAACTTGTGAACATTACTATTCAAATGTTAGGAAAATTCCACCCATCCCGCATCCAAGGACAATCACGATCATGCCTCATTTTAACTTGTTTTCCCCAACCATAATAGCATAACATCCAGTCCACATGTACCAAGGGACAGGAAAGATGGCTTCCTTGACCCCTTTAAATTAGCTACAAGTGCCTTTGGGATGCAAAAAGCAGTCCAGCACTCTTTCAGCATTCCTGGACTCAGCAATCCAGATGTGGAAATGCTCTGTTAAACATGTATCACTCCCAACATACCAGGTGACAACTTGCTTCCTATCATGAAAGTACATGGGATTGGATCTTTTCACAATCCTGCTTCTGTCCTAAAGCATCAAACAGCATTGCTGCCCACACATGTCTTTAGATGCACATCAAACTGACCCAGCAGCAAGCAGGCCCACTTTCTGGGAAATGAATGTGTCTTTCCCACCAGATCTCTCCAGAATGTAACTGACATGAAAACAGCAATCACCTAAATATCCAAACACTATCCAAACTGGTCCATATGCTGAAACAAAGCCACCCATCCCCAAGCAAAGAAACACTCCAATTTCCAATCCAAGTGGAGAAATGTCAGGGTCACTATATTGCCCCCACATTCATCAGGCATCACTGACTGACACTAGAACATGCGGGAATTATGGCTCAGTGGTACAGCACCTGCTTAGCATGCAGGTCTGAGGTTCAATCCGCAGCATCTCCAGTTAAAAGGATTTGGCAGGGGGATGATGTGAAAGCCCTCCACTAGTGACCCTGGAGAGCCCTTGCCAGAGTAGAGGATACTGACCTTGACAGACCAAGGGTCTCACTCAACGTAAGGTGGCTTCATGCGTGCATTCATGCTGTAGAGGAAACCAGAGCTCAGATTCCATATTCTACAGAAGCTTTTACAAAATTACAGCAAGTAAGAAACAGCCCAAACATTATCAGCATATGCCATTAATTATAAACAGGAGCTCTTGTTTTTGTTCTTCACCCAAGCCCCACCATTCAAGTGCAAACACACACACACAATCTCCTGTTTAATATTTCTGGCCAGCGCTAGAAAATCTTGGCCACGTCCCCATCAATAAGCACATTTTCTACACACTTTGTGCCCTTCGCCTTCCATCGCCACCCCATCAAACACACAGTGCTTTCTGCAGCTATCAGGGAACGGCGGCAAGAAAAACCAACCCAATGGGTGCAACAAGGTAAAAATTTGTATGCTGAGCCATGAGATTAAAAGGGGGGGGGGGCTTGGTGTCTTTTACCCCCTCTTGCCCACAGTTGCTCAGGCAACCAAACATCAGCCTTCCAAGATAGCTTTGGGGGGGTAGAACTGCAAAAAGAGCACCGTGAGGAGGACGCAGGATGCCGAAATCTAGGGAAGAAACCCACCAAGACAGTTCAAAGACTGCACAAGGAAACGGAAAGGGAGTGGAATTCAGAAATCAAATCCAACCCTCCCCTTGTGGAAAGGGGGATATAACATTGATACGTCTCCCTCCGTCCCTCACACACACAGAGTTCACACTCCCAACAAGCCGCCTCTTCCTCCTTCACGGCTTCGTTTGAAAACACCCCAAAATGTCCCCTTCTCCGAGTTCGGGGAGAGGGGGTGGTTTTTTTGGCAAAGCTGCGGGAGAAACCTGCCATCGGTACGCGCTCTCGACGCTGGTCGGGCCGTCTGGCTCTCACGCCGGCTCCTGTTTCAATGAGAAGGCGGCGGCAGCTTTGGGGGGGGGGGGCACAGCTGGCGGGGCCGCTCTCTCCACGCGCGCCCTTCGCTGTTTTGTCCCCGCTCGGCGCAGCACACGTTCGCGGCGGACTTCTCTCCCTTGCGCGCCCCCACCCAGCCAGGCTGCCTCGGGAAGAGATTTGCAAGGCGCCCCGCCGCAGCTGCCTCCTCCTCCTCACCAAGCCCCTCCACAGCGTCTCCCTCCCTTTCCCTTTACCTGCAAGAGGCTGCGGGGGGGAAGGGGGCGAATGGCGCGCTGCTGCTCCGCTTGCAGATGTTCGTACAGAGGATGGGAAAGCTGCAATCCCCAGGCCCGGGCCCGGCCCAGATTGAGTGCCCCCTCCTCCTCCGCGCTAGAGCCGGCCGTCCCCGCCGCCGCAGCCCTTCATAACCACAACCACCTCCTCCTTTTCCTCTTCTCCTCCATCTTTGCAAGCTGGGCTTCGCTCGCTCTCTCGCCCGCTCCGCTCTT